ACTTATAACCAGACTTATCGTGTGTTCAGTTCATCCTCAGACAAACTCTTATTAAACACGTGACCATCAATGCTGCTGTTTCACAGCCGTGAGCTTTGTTAAAAGAGGAAAATCGAAGCCATCAAATATGACACAACTTGATTAAGCAGCCACACGATGTCTCCTCAAAGTTTACCAAGTTTGATGGATTTTACATGGAATGAACCTGGAACGCTTTTATTTATTCCTTCTATGAAGCTGGCTTTGTAACAGTTCTTCAGACTTCCTGTTGGATTCAAGGTCATTATTGAAGCAGACGAATGAGATTCGACACATGCGGAGCGACGCGGTGTGTCTGATCAGAACTGAACTTTCTCCATGACTTTCCACACCCACCATCCCTGCTGTTCTCCTGTGGGACAGGAGCTGGGAGTATCACAGTAATTTGTTTGACTTCATTTATAACTGTCAGACACACCAAGAGATCGTGCTGTCATGTCTCCATTACAACACCACACAGAGGCCAGTGAATAAGGCATGCACCTGTACTGTGTGTGTCTGTAGCCCGGCTTGAAATCACACGTGGGTGTCCCCAAATCTGGCTCAGGCGCAGCTCTTTCTTGGCAGCAGTGTGAAATTTTACTCTGGAGCTTTTGGTAAAAACCAAATGTAGGTCAGGACTATTGAATCCCAGTGAGACCAGTCCAGGTTAGACAGGACTGCGGGCCATTACAGAGTCATGTGTGACAGCGGCGTCCAGAGTGGGAGGGTGGTGCACCTCAGGCGCTGTGGATGGAAAGGCTCCACCCTGGGAGGGAAGCAATAACACTTCTGATCCAAACTGATGTCATTCCTGGTTTCGTTGGTTAAAGGCGTGGCCGACCACCAACCACAGCTGGTTATCTGAAACTGAGCCAGGTCACAAACATCGTGCTCAGTACACCTGTGTGTGTTCACACCGCACACAGGAAGTTACTTGTTCTCAAGATTCATAAAAGCTTTTTAAAGCAGCTTTACGTGATTCTCACCTCTTTACTTAACGTCTACTAGAATAAATATGCAAGATTCACAGTTTAAAAATAAATAAAATAATCATCCAACAGCAGAACTCGAGTTGATCTCAGTTCACCTTCCATGTGAACTGAGGTCTCCTTATAAACCAACTTCCTTCTGATTGGCTGCCCCTCACAAACAGAAGGTTTGGAGAGCAGGTGGGGCTTCTTTTTGAAACAGGAAGTCAGCTCTTGTCACTGTCTTGATCGTGTTCACCTGTGCCTCTTCTCTCTTCAGTCTGTGTTTTACTCCCTCAGTCTTATTTAGGTTCCTCCTTCATATTGTCGACCTGCTTGTTTTGCTTTGAGCTGATGGAAACAACAGAAACACAAACAGAAAGGCCGTCAGGTTTCATCCTGTGCGACAGAAAGAAGATATGATTCATGAAAAAGAGCTGAAACTCTGCTTGTCTGCCTTAGAAACAGTAACTGCAGAAGATGGTTGGAGGGAAACAGTTTTAACTCTTCAATTTCCCCCAAACTTTACTGATATAGTCACAAATTAATATAGTATATAAATGTAAATCGTTCAGTTAAAATCGTTCAATCTGAAGAGAAATATAGAATTTTATGTGTCAGTAATTTCAGATCAGATATTCTCTGACTCTGTTCTTTAACGGTAAAGTTAAAGCAAAGATTAGTTTCCAGCTGTTGTTTTAAGTCTCTGGAGCATCAAACTTAATCAGAAGTTGGAGGCTGAAGGTTGTCCGGCTCACACAGAGCACGCTGACATGTTCCAGGTTTGCAGCTCTTTCAGAATCACCTTGTTTGCTCAATAATGTCAAACTGTAATCTTCATATGTTTCACGAACACGTGTTTGTGTGACAAAGAGCCTAAAGACACTTTTTAAACTTGGTTCTTTGCTTTGTTGTCACAACACTGGTTTCCATGCGTTGGTTTTATCCTTGAATGAGGTCAGTGTGGTCTGTAACTGCTCAGGCACGAGGACTGACAGTGTGAAAGAGCAGAGAGGCTGGCTCTGAAAAGCTAAATATTAAAACAAGAAATAAATATAACCAGAAGAGTTCAGGACAGAATATTTATTGCAAACAAACTAACCAAACATCCAGTGTTTAAGTTTCCACAATACACGAGCTTCCTCTGAGGTACACTGTGCAGCGCAAACTTTTATTTAAATAATAAAAATGTGAAAAGGAAACAGATTTTTATTTGAATGACACGATCGTTTCAGATAATAAGTCCAGGACGTCGTACTCCGAAACAGGATTTTAGAAAACTCGTCTTCTCGGACGTCTCTGAGGAGACGCCACAACCAAAAATACGGGTTTATTATATTAATTATCCAGAAATGTGACAAACATGAGCACCTTCAGAGTGACACCTGATGAAAGTTTGTACATTAATATGTTTCACTGTTTTTACATGAGACTGAAAGATGAGCTGATTCAACAGCCACCTGTGCACTGGCCTGCACCGCCCCCTGCTGGCCTGCACCGCCCCCTGCTGGCCTGCAGTGTTCAGTGTTTCAGTGAAGAACAGCAGCACCAGTTTTCTCATCCCTTCTTGATGTCTGCAGGGTGGGCTTTTAAAGGGGGTCGGGGTCACAGGTCAGGGACATCGAGGCTCCTCAGCCACAGCTCCAGGGCGAACTTGGTCCCGGTGCTGACCCGCTCCACGTCGGGACCGCTGGCTGGAGCGCGACTGGTGAAGACCGCCAGAGGCATCGAAGACTCGGTCAGAGCTCCGTCTGCAGAGACCTGCGACACGCTGGAGACACAGACCCGTGCAATGAAACATCCAGCTCACAGTTTGTGCTGCATTAATGTCAGTGTCTGCAGGTTTTGTGAGGGCGCCATGCTTTTTTGTCTCTGACCCGTCAGGCGACACAAAGCCTCACATACATAACAGGCAAGAACACAATTTACAGGATGCACAGTATCCTCTGTGTTCCTGTAGACAACAACTACAAAACAAGCAGCTGAGCTCTAATGGACTCACAAGCACATCTGAGGTATTAACATCAGCACAAACTCTGTGAGCTGGAAGATTCGCAGCTCTGCATCTAAACCCGTGATACCTGATGCTACTCGGCAGGTCGTCCAGCTGAACGCCGGCGTCGTCTCCGTCCACGGCAGACACGATGGCTCTGACCAGCCGGCTGTCCGCCCACAGACACGCGCTGACCTCAGCAGGCGACGGTCTGAGAGAGGGCTGCGGGCGGAGACAACGAGAGGAATCACACGAGAGGCTGGCTCACTTTAAAATAACAGCAGAGAGGATCGTTCACAACGAGACGAATGTTACAGACGGAGGCAAACTAAACCACACGCACTCATAATTACATTAAAGTAACAGCAGAGTACCTGCTGGGTCCATTAACATCATCCAACATCACGTAGACAAAAGATCATGTCAAATCATTCATTAGGTGGGAGGGGAGGCAGCCCGAGCCCCCGTAGCTGTTACCTGTAACTGCAGGTGAGTGAGAGACGAGTGCAGCAGCATGTAGACGACGACGTGGTGTCTGTGAGGAAGTCCTCTGGACAGCATGGCAGGAAACACCGACTGACGGTCACACAGAACACAGAGGGCTGTGACATATATAACCTCACAGCGTACGATATAAATAAGAGCAGCAGAGAATAAAAGACACTCGGGTCACTCGCTCACCTCCCACAGGCCCAGCACTGTTGGAGAAACCTGCTCCGGCTCCAGTTTGAGTCCAGTTTCCTCGTGCAGCTCCCTCAGACCTGCACCCAGCAGCTTCACACGTTACAGGAATAAAGTTCACACAGTTACTTTGTGTTAACCTCGTTCGCCTTGTTGTAGAAGTCGTCACTAAACGACACGTAAAATGATGCTGGGAAGCAAAGGAAACATTTACCGTCTCATCCAACTCCACGTGACCTCCTAAATATTAACACAATACATGAAGAGCGTTACAAAACGAGAAAACCCATAACAACGAGTGTGTGTGTGTGTGTGTGTTTAATAATGTGTGCAAACACAGATCTGTGTGTGCTGAACCTGGAGGAACCCAGACGTTGGGAAATATGCGAAGCTCCTTTGCACGCCGTGTCAGCAACACTCTCTGATTGGCTGTCTGCAGGAGGATAGCCACACCCACATCCACTCCACGCTGTTGGATGTCCAATGGGATTGCAGCTGCGTCCGTGGCTGACAGGTGTTTGATGGGACAGAAAGCAGGTCTCTGAGAGAGAAACAGCAGGAAACCCTGAGCCCGGGACAGCTGCTGTTGTGAAACTGAATTAAATTGAACTGAGTGCGGATGTGGGGGTGGGGGTGGGGGGGCGAATGCTCAGCGTGTCTGACCTTCAGCGGGACCCCTCGTCCTCCGTCTCCTTTGCAAAGAATGAACTGATTTTTCTCCAGCGTGCAGCTCACCTCCACCTCATCCTCGCC